CCGAAGTCCCCAACGCTGGCATGGTCTCTTCATCGGCGTGACGTTAGCATGGCGCCATCCGAGCTAAACTACGGCTGACAGGTGGGTCCGGGGTCAAACGGTGTCTGACAGGTGAGGCGCAGTTCATGGTGAACCCGCCTGCGTTGGTCCATAGACCGCAGAGCCGGTCTATGAAGGACTTGGTCCACCTACTCCTTCCCAGTGTTCGGTTCACGTGCACCAAGTGCTCGGACGTGTGGCCGGCGAGGGGAAAATCAAAATCTTCTTCCTCGTCATGCTCCCGCCGGTGGTAAGCTCACCGGCGAGCCCCTCCAGCGGCGTGGGTGTGCAATTAAGGTGGGCAAAAGCTTGGCCATGCCATAGCGGGTGTCCTGGTGAAGTTAACGTGGTGGTCGGGTGGCTCCAGTTGGCTGGCCGCGGTGAACGGCGGCATGGGTTCGTCGGCGTGCATGGACTGGCTGCAGTGGTAGCGAGAGCCTAGTTGGAGGAGCGTGTGAGCTCCACGGTGCTTCTACGACCATGGCGAGCAGGTCGAAGGGGCTCCGGAGCTCTCAGTGCCTCCGACCACGGTGGTTGGGGTAGAGCAGAGGCGGTGGCGCTCCGATGAGGTGCGGTACGGCAACGCAGGGCTCCGGTGGGCTTCATCCTCGGCTAAGGTGAGCGCGGTGTGTCTCTCGTCATGGCGGAGCAAGTCAGGGTGTCAACGTCGCCTTTACCGCGACGTAGAAGACGCGGTGGTCTCGCCATGGTTGTGCTCTGGCCATGGTGAGCGCGTGCGTGCGTGTGATGCGTATGCATGGCATAAGCAAAGCGCTCGGCGCTAGCATTCCTGAGCAGAGGGCTCGGCGTCGCCCCCTTTCTTCCCTTTGCTTCGCATTTCCGTTTGGCTCAACAAGAGGGTCGTGGTGGTCCTTCTATGCTACAGGTTGGCTAAGCCGGAGCAAGAGCTTGTGCTCCATCATGGTCCGTTCATGGCGTCCGAGAGGCTAGGAGTGGTCGTGCCGGTGTTCCCGAGCCGCTAGGGGTCGGTGAGGCCAGGCCTTGGGCTTGTGCACGTGCGGTGCGTGTGCAGCGTGTCTACGAGCGGGAATGCTCCACCTCTACGTTCCCCAGGTGCGGGAACATGGTGGCGTTCATGATGAGTACGGCTAGCATGGTGAGTGGCGAACGACGTGGCTCACCATAGGGCTCGTGGTGGTAGGATGGCGGTGCGGTGTCAAGGCGAGGCTGTGATGAGGCGATGTAGTGCCGTGTCGAGCAGCTACGTAGTTGTAGTCGATCAGGGCGGTGCTCCTGGCTCCGGTGAGGTCCGATTCCACAACGGCTTCCTTCCTCCTCCTTGCTTCTTCCTCTTCCCTCTCTCTCGGCTTGACGCGGTGTGGTGCTGTGCCACCAGCGGCGGCGGCGAACGGGCTGAGGGTTAGGGCTCGCGGGCGTTGGCTTTTATAGCCGAGCTCCAAGGGCTCCAATGGCGGACGGTGATCGGGCGATGGTGATGCGTGCGGCGCATCGGATGGCCCGCGTGCGGTAGCGTAGGCGCGGCGCAAGGGGGAACAGGGTCATGCGATGTGCGTGACCCCAGGCCTGCGTCTGCTCCGCGGTCGGCTCCTGGTCGCGTGGTGGAGAGAGCGTGGGGAAGACGATGACGCTGTAGCTGGGCGGCTGACAGAGGGGGCCCATTTGTCAGCTTGTCCTGATGCGGCGGCGTGCGGTGCGTGACGGCTGATGGGTGGGCCTGGCTCATTAGCGGCTGTGCGCATGAAAGGGCAGGCGAGGCTTGGCTGGGCTAGCTGGGCCGGTCGAGGCAGGCTGGGCTGCTGCTGCTCCCTCCTTTTCCTTTTCTTTTTCCCTTGCTTCGATTCAAATTTAGTTAGAGTTTAAACTTGAGCTTCGAGTTATGTAGTGGGTCCCACAAGGTGTTTCAATTGGTGGTCAAAATACATCCCATATATTAGGGTTTATCATAAATATTAAGTAAGTTAGTTTAAACATCACATAAGGCAAAAGAATCCAAATCACAAGTGTAATTAAGGATGCATGCATGATTTGTTTATTTAGGAATTTAATTACACATGTGGCATAAAACCAAGCTATGCTTATGACTTTAACCTAGATGGGTCACATCTAATCCAAAACTAGGGTTTGGCTTCTACATGTGTCACTCAACATCACATAGGGTTTAAACAAAAAATTTGTAGTTGTGATTTTTGGTGTGTGGATTTTTGGGTTGTTACACTGAGCACATGTACCCCACTAGACACTAATTGCTTGCCACCACACATTTTGGGAATTCAATAGACTCGACATCGTCTTCATCATCTCCAACCTAAAAATAGAAAAAATATTAGCATGTCACAAGACAAACAAAGTTGAACAGAGAGAACACGTTATTGTTGGGAGTATGCCCTAGAGATAATCATAGAGATGATTATATTGCCTTGTATCCATGATATATTATGAGTTCATTGAATTTCCATTAAAGACAACCTGTATCGATTAGCAATTATGTGAATTGTTTGTGAAACTCTTTTACTTGTATGGTTATTCTAATGTTGTCCCTGGTCAGAGTTTGTGTGAGGACACACATGAATAATGGATCGGCACATTATTAGTTGATGACTATGTTTCACAAGTCATAGACATGGAGATGTCAAACTAATAATGTGGGCACATGTATGACATGGGGCTGGACTGACCCAACGTGAGATGTTGTTATTATCTCTATTCACATCTTGTACGTTATGTTCTTAGACCTGAGATTGTTGTATGTATTCAAGATGTGAAACGACCTACTCAGGGACTATCAAACGCTACTCCGTAATAGGGTAGTTATAAAGGTGGTTTTCGGGTTTGTCGGGAAACATGCTATGAGACATAGATAATCAAGATGGAATTTGCCCCTCTCTATATGAGAGAGATATCACTAGATCACTCTAATGATTAGATCAAGAAATGCATGGCCGTGCTTGGGTTAAGTGTTAACCTATGAGTTGGACCAAATATCGTGAGGCAAGGGAATAACAAGTATGTGGTTTTGTGGTGGTTCGTCTGATATGATCTTTGCGTACGCATAGGAGTTGACATGCCTTGCTAGAGGCCGCTATCAACTAATGGCCGAGTAGGAGTACTCGGGCCATGTCTATGTGTGCGTGAACCCATAGGGTCGCACGCTTAAGGGGCTGGAAGCCTAATTCGGATTGGATCCGAGTTAGACAAGGCTTAGGGTTACTAATGGGCCTCCAACTCAGGAGCTCATTAGGGACGCCTATAAATAAGTGGGGTGGGCAATGGGGCTAGGTATCCCACACCTTTTGGCAGCCGCCGCCGCCCATCCTACGCCCGCGCTTGCTGCTCCTCGCGGACCTAGCAGTCCAGAGGCACGACGCTTCCTCCCTGTACGTGTGGATACCTTGGAGGTGCTGCATCTGGAGCACAAGGATGATCCGCATGAAGGGGACGGACATACAGACGACCTTGCAACTGCATGGCACTGCTACGACACGTACGACTACATCGAGTCGCTTCCGCTGCACCTGCGTGTCTAGTCGTAATCCCATGATCTATAACTAGCAGTAGATCCTGGTTTATGAGGTCGAATTTTTGTTTTCCGGCTAGCGTAGCATCCTCATAACCCTACAGTGGTATCAGAGCCATTACTGCATTGTTATAGGTTCGGATGAGTGCGTATGGAGATATGCACGGTTGTAGATGAGTCTCTGATCATGGTTCGTGATTTTACCGTGTTGGTCTTGTAACGATCTACTCGTACCGGTCAGAATTCCGCCATCCGAGTTAAGTGATACATGTAAATCCAGTCATGACAAGATGGAGATCAATCAGATTGATCGAATCGAAACTAGGTCAAGTGCCGAGCGCATGTGATGCGCAGTGATGATAGATTGGATCTACTGCCGGGCGCCGGGGTGCAAGAAAAAGTGTTGTTCGGTAAAACAGCCATAACTTTTGCATACGACCTCAGATTGAGACGAACTCTATATGAAAATTGTAGAGAAAATATTTTTACATCCTATTCTCAGCCCCTTTGGCGGTTTTGCTGAAATTAGATTTGCGAAAAACAGCCGGGAAGATGGTGTTTTCGGCGTTTTAAGATTAGACGTCGGAATCGGTTAACTCTGTTTTGCAGGAATTTATGACTGGTATAGCCCTTATGTGTATGTGATGCATGTATGTAATTAATTCATGGCTTGCATGTCGTGAGCATGACAATATGGCTGGAGCCACAAAGATATTGTCAATTTGATGTAATGGCATGCATGCCAAACTATGATGATCCTATCCGCGACTATGTAATTTTCTTCACTGCCTTGCGTTAGTGATAGCTAGTCTTGGTGGACTCATCACTAAAGGATGGCATACATGGATCATGGAGATGGAGATCATCATGAGGAACAGTTCGATGGAGATGGAGATCCCCAAAGGAACAATGGGCTATACCATGTCATATATGTGTTAATGCCGTTCTTACTATGTTCTACTTTCACGTGCGATAATGTTTTTGTCTACATGCGATAGTGAAGTAGAACGATCCCTTGGCAATGTTTAAGTTAAAATGCTTCCCCAAACCTTGCACTGTCATGTGTCTTGTACAATCGGTGGTGGGTCTATGAAATTAGGGTGCCACTAGTTTTCCTTGACTAGACAGGTTTGTATCGGATACTTACAGCAGAAGGGTTGGTTACTTGAACAAGGTCATCCTAACGGTTAGGGACCTTAGTTGGGCACCTAAGCATAGAGATGCTACCCAACAACAAGAGTCATATGTGATATGATTAGCAAAGAGTTGCTTACCAATTTACCATGTCTTCTAGCAGTGATGCTAAAGCTCACTAGTAGACTTGTTAGTTGTGGGTCTTGAATCACTAAGTTTCAAGAGAGGGATATTGATTTTAGTGGGAGTAGATTCTATTAAAGGTTTAATATTGTTTACTCTGTATTGGATACATTGTCTTAGTATTTTGCATTACTTTTGTTGTAGATAAATGGCGCCTAGCAATCAACCATTTACTTTGCGTTCAATTCTTGAGAAAGATAAGTTGAATGGAACAAACTATGCGGATTGGATCCGCAACCTGAGAATTGTTCTCAGGGCTGAGAAAAAGGAAGAAATTCTAGACACCCCATTACCAGAAGAGCCTGCTGATAATGCACCTACTGCAGAGAAAAACGCTTACAAGAGAGCATGTGATGCTGATCTTGAAGTGAGTTGCCTTATGCTTGCTTGTAGGGAACCAGATCTGCAATTGCAGTTTGACAATAACCATGCAGTGCACGATATGATCGTGGCGCTCAATGATATGTTCCAGACTCAAGCCAAGACTAAAAGGTTCAATGTCTCAAAGGCTTTTGCTGAAACCAAGCTAGCAGAGGGCGCAGCAGTTGGGCCACATGTGATCAAAATCGTTGGTTACACTCAGAGGTTAGAGAAGCTGGGCTTCCCAATTGGCCCTGAATTAGCTACTGATTTTATTCTCGCGTCTCTTCCGCCCAGCTATGGAAATTTCGTTGTGAACTACCATATGCATGGGGCGGAGAAGGGCTTGAATGAATTATGTGGCATGCTTAAAACAACAGAGGTTGATATCAAGAAAGGTGCTGGCAGTAGTCATGTGATGGCGGTCCAAAACAAGCCTAAGTTTAAGAAGAAGGGCAATTCTTGGAAGAAGAAAAAGGGCAAGGCTAAAGATGAGATCTCTAAGCCAAACCCACCTATGCCCAAGGCTGGACCATCTGCTGATGCTGAGTGCTTTCATTGTCATGGGAAAGGTCATTGGAAGAGGAACTGCAAGCTGTACCTAGAATCCATAAAGGATCGCGGCAGTAAAGGTACCCCCGCAACTTGTACACTTGTTTATATTACGGACATTTTCCTTGCTAATTCTTATATTAATTCTTGGGTATTTGATACCGGATCGGTTGCTCATATTTGCAATACGATGCAGGGAATGATAAGAAGTAGAAGCGTGGAAAAGGGAGAAGTTGATTTCCACGTGGGCAATAATGCAAGAGTTGTTGCGTTGAACGTCGGGACGATGCAACTCCACCTCCCGTCAGGATTTATTATGGAGTTGAATAATTGTTATTTTGTTCCTAGTTTAAGTCGAAACATTGTGTCACCTTCATGTTTGATGAAGGATGGTTATTCATTTGCGAGTAAAGACAATGGTTGTGTGATCTCTAAAAATGGCATGTTTGTGGCTTCTGCATCCATTGTGAATGGGTTATTTATTTTAAATCTTGAAGATGCTCCTGTCTATAATATAAGTGCTAAAAAGCCTCGGCTTAATGAGTTAAGTCCCACCTATATGTGGCATTGTCGTTTAGGTCATATAAGTGAGAATCGCATGAAGAGGCTCCATTCTGATGGGCTTTTAACTTCGTTTCATTTTGAATCATACGAGACATGTGAGGCTTGCCTGCTGGGCAAGATGACCAAGATGCCTTTCACAGGTTTTCCTGAGAGGGTGGCAGACTTGCTGGAACTCATACATACTGATGTGTGCGGACCAATGAGTACGACAGCAAGAGGCGGATTCTAATACTTCATAACCTTCACTGATGACTTTAGTAGATATGGCTATGTCTACTTAATGAGACATAAGTCTGAGACATTTGAAAAGTTCAAGGAGTTTCAGAGTGAAGTAGAGAATCAACGTGGCAAGAAAATTAAGGCTTTGCGATCTGATCGTGGAGGCGAATATTTGAGCCACGAGTTTAGCAATCATCTAAAGAGTTGTGGAATTGTTCCACAGCTTACGCCACCTGGAATGCCTCAGAGAAATGGCGTGTCCGAGTGACGTAATCGGACTTTGTTGGACATGGTTCGGTCTATGATGAGCTAGTCAGACCTACCATTATCATTTTGGGGATACGCTCTAGAAACAGCCGCTTTCACATTGAATAGGGTACCGTCTAAGTCCGTAGTTAAGACACCACATGAGATGTGGACCGGTAAGAGTCCCAGTTTATCTTTTCTAAAAATGTGGGGTTGTGAAGTTTATGTCAAACGACTTATGATAGATAAACTAACACCCAAGTCAGACAAGTGCTTTTTCGTGGGATATCTGAAGGAAACTTTAGGGTATTACTTCTACAACCGATCAGAGGGCAAAGTGTTTGTTGCTCGGAACGGTGTTTTCTTAGAGAAAGAGTTTCTCAAAAGAGAGAAAAGTGGACAGAAGGTGTATCTTGAAGAAGTTCAAGATGAGCCCGTTGGGAAGGACTCTACGAGTGATGCTAATGTTGTAGAACAAGTTGAGATACCCATGGCAATAGAAACACCGCCACAACCATGAAGGTCAGCAAGAATCCTCGAGTTGCGTGGGGATTTGTTATTGTTAGATGACGACGAACCTACGACTTATGCGGAAGCAATGATGGACCCAGATTCCGAGAAATGGCAAAGTGCCATGAGATCCGAGATAGATTCCATGGGAAACAATCAAGTTTGGAACTTGGTTGACCCGCCTGATGGGGTTAGACCCATAGAGTGCAAATGGGTCTATAAAAAGAAAAAGGATATGGATGGAAACGTTCACGTTTATAAAGCTCGACTTGTTGCAAAGGGTTTTCAGCAAGTTCAAGGAATTGACTACGACGAGACTTTCTCGCCGGTAGCGATGCTTAAATCTATCCGGATCATTCTAGCAATAGTTGCTTATTTCGATTATGAGATATGGCAGATGGATGTTAAAACAGCCTTTCTAAATGGAAATTTGGATGAGGACGTGTATATGATACAGCCCGAAGGTTTTGTTGATCCAAACAATGCTGGAAAAATTTGCAAGCTTCAAAAATCCATTTATGGATTAAAGCAAGCATCTCGGAGTTGGAACATTTGTTTTGATGAAGTGGTCAAAGGTTTTGGCTTTCGTCAGAATGAAGAAGAACCTTGTGTTTACAAGAAGGAAAGTGGAGCGCTGTTGTATTTCTGATCTTATATGTGGATGACATATTATTGATTGGGAATGACATTCCTATGTTGCAATCCGTAAAGACTTCACTGAATAATATTTTTTCTATGAAGGATTTAGGAGAAGCAGCATACATTTTGGGCATCAAGATCTATAGAGATAGATCGAAGAGGCTTATAGGATTAAGCCAAGATACGTATATTGACAAGGTGTTGAAACGGTTCAACATGGAACAGTCCAAGAAAGGGTTCTTGCCTATGTCACATGGTATGCGCTTTAGCGATAAACAGTGTCCTTCGACAGCTGATGAGCGAAAGCGCATGAGTAAGGTTCTATACGCCTCGGCAGTTGGTTCCATCATGTACGCCATGATATGTACTCGCCTAGATGTCTCATATGCTCTAAGTGTTGCGAGCAGGTACCAAGCTGATCCAGGAGAGAGTCACTGGACACTTGTTAAAAACATTCTTAAGTACTTGAGAAGGACTAAAGATGTGTTCCTAATCTATGGAGGTGAGGAGGAGCTCGTTGTAAATGGTTACACCGATGCTAGCTTCCAAACTGACACGGATGATTCACAGTCTCAATCAGGTTTTGTGTTCACAATAAATGGTGGTACTGTAAGTTGGAAAAGTTCCAAGCAGGAGACGGTGACCGATTCTACAGTAGAGGCTGAGTACATTGCAGCTTCTGGAGCTGCGAAGGAAGGTGTTTGGATGAGGAGGTTCCTCATTGAACTTGGTGTGTTTCCAAATGCGTCCAGCCCATTGAATCTACATTGTGACAACAATGGGGCAATTGCGCAGGCTAAGGAGCCAAGGAATCACCAAAAGAACAAACATGTACTGCGGAAATTTCACCTCATTCGAGAGTTCGTTAGACGAGATGAGATCATGATGTGCAAGACACACACAGATTTGAATGTTGCAGATCCTTTGGCAAAGGCTCTTCCACAGCCTAAGCATGAGGCGCACATGAGAGCTATGGGTATTAGATATCTTCGAGATTAACTCTAGTGCAAGTAGGAGATTGTTGGGAGTATGCCCTAGAGATAATCATAGAGATGATTATATTGCCTTGTATCCATGATATATTATGAGTTCATTGAATTTCCATTAAAGACAACCTGTATCGATTAGCAATTATGTGAATTGTTTGTGAAACTCTTTTACTTGTATGGTTATTCTAATGTTGTCCCTGGTCAGAGTTCGTGTGAGGACACACATGAATAATGGATTAGCACATTATTAGTTGATGACTATGTTTCACAAGTCATAGACATGGAGATGTCAAACTAATAATGTGGGCACATGTATGACATGGGGCTAGACTGACCCAACATGAGATGTTGTTATTATCTCTATTCACATCATGTACGTTATGTCCTTAGACCTGAGATTGTTGTATGTATTCAAGATGTGAAACGACCTACTCAGGGACTATCAAACGCTACTCCGTAACAAGGTAGTTATAAAGGTGGTTTTCGGGTTTGTCGGGAAACATGCTATGAGACATAGACAATCAAGATGGAATTTGCCCCTCTCTATATGAGAGAGATATCACTAGATCACTCTAATGATTAGATCAAGAAATGCATGGCCGTGCTTGGGTTAAGTGTTAACCTATGAGTTGGACCAAATATCGTGAGGCAAGGGAATAACAAGTATGTGGTTTTGTGGTGGTTCGTCTGATATGATCTTTGCGTACGCATAGGAGTTGACATGCCTTGCTAGAGGCCGCTATCAACTAATGGCCGAGTAGGAGTACTCGGGCCATGTCTATGTGTGCGTGAACCCATAGGGTCGCACGCTTAAGGGGCTGGAAGCCTAATTCGGATTGGATCCGAGTTAGACAAGGCTTAGGGTTACTAATGGGCCTCCAACTCAGGAGCTCATTAGGGACGCCTATAAATAAGTGGGGTGGGCAACGGGGCTAGGTATCCCATGCCTTTTGGTAGCCGCCGCCGCCCATCCTACGCCAGCGCCTGCTGCTCCTCACGGACCTAGCAGTCCGGAGGCGCGACGTTTCCTCCCTGTACGTGTGGATACCTCGGAGGTGCTGCATCTGGAGCACAAGGACGAACCGCACGAAGGGGACGGATGTACAGACGACCTTGCAACTGCACGGCACTACTACGACGCGTACGACTACATCGAGTCGCTTCCGCTGCACCTGCGCGTCTAGTGGTAATCCTGTGATCTATAACTAGCAGTAGATCCTGGTTTATGAGGTCGAATTTTTGTTTTCCGGCTAGCGTAGCATCCTCATAACCCTACAGTTATATACTTATATAATATGAATCCATACTACAACAAGAGGATGATTGTTGTCATCATAAGTGCCCCTTATCCAGCTAGATGCACACAGTAAAGCCTGAACTATGGCTGGCTTTAAACAGCTTCTGTAGTCATCAAGAACTCGACCTACATTACTGAAGGTGCACTATGATGATACACTGCTCACTGGAATAGCCAAGAACCTCTTTGCCAAGCTAGACACAACTGGAAATCTATGACAGTTCACATTCCAATATCTGAGTAAGTTGAAATGCTTGTTATTTATGGGCTCATTTGGTTCATCTAGATAAATCAGCAGCTCAGATTTTGAACTTTCTGTAACACTAGATTGCAAAAATGACTGGAAATCACTGCAATAGAAGCCATTGACTGGTTGTATCAAGTGAAGCTGAGGTTGATTGCCTATTCGTTCCATTGTCACCCATCTTTTGCCGATTTAATATCTCAAAAAAAAACTAGACCTGCAAGGGTATGACCACCCCTAGGCATTGCATTAAGAAGAAGACCTTCTCACGCAGGCCCAGAAAACCCCCGAACCCCTGCCCCACCCTTACACAGCGGCATCGTCGCCCTGTGAGAACGGGCCGGGACGCTCTAACCAGTTGGACTAAAGGCCCTTTGGCCCGATTTAATATCTCATACTTGTTATAGAGTCTTTCCAACTCTTGGTTGATGTCATTAATCTCAATTTCACACCTAACTGGGTCAAAAATCTGTGCAAAACATCATTTAATGTACCTCATCTTGAACGTAGGGTCAAGAATTGTAGCAATAACCATAACATTGTTCTTCTCCTCCCAATATTTATCATATTTGTCCAGCATAGCAGCAGCCATACTCTTCAAATATATATCTCCAGATTGTTGCGCCCCTATCAATGCTCTCTTAACTTTCACTACGTAAGGATAGAAAGAATTGGCAGTTGGATTGAGTGACCCAGAAAATGCAGTAGTGGCCTCTGCCATTGTTCCCAGTAGTGGCCTAATTTTTCCAAACATTACCCAAACTGAATCTGAAGGTTTCCAAACATAGCTGGTGTCTACTTCTTTGTAATAACCAAATGCATCTTTATAGTCAATGCACGTATCTAGCATTTTATAAGTTGAATTCCACCTTGTTTTAACATCCAGAGCTAAACCCCTTCCCACTTTGACAGAGTAATTGTTCCATACTTCCACAAACTTATACATGCGAGATGGAGACCTCTTAAAGTATTTCACTGTGTTCCTCAAGCAAGATATCAAATTATGTATTGGTTGGAGGCTAAAACCTTGGCTCGTCCGAGTCGAGTCAGGCCACGAGCCGATCGAGCTAACGAGCTTCGAGTTTTCCATCCAGCTTTATGTCTATAGATACCTCCGTCATTAAACACACGGACCCATGCACATCATTGCAGTGTTGCCATGCCTGCCGCTGCCGGTGCCGTGTAGCTCGGCACGGCGCAGTGGCTGTTTGGTACCCTACGTCCCTACCCCCACCGGCCATCGGGTTGGATACATGTAGCCTTCAGCTGAAAGCACGCAACACGTATACGTAGTACTGTACGTCTCATTCTGTTCCTGCATTATTATACTACGTATACGTACATCTCCATGGATCGATATCGTCGACGGAAGCGCTACTGGCTCGGAATACCATTTTGATTTTGGTGACGACTGACGAGGCGAGTAGGCGACGGGTGTGCGTCTGTGCGACCGCCTGCTGCATGCTGCCTAGCTTCTCATGGGCCATAGCCCAAATAAAATATAAGGCGGCCCAGGAGACTTTGGGCTTGAAGGATTCGGAAGGCCCAGGGGACCGCCAGAAGCTGAGAAGCACCCACGTTCCTTTTCCGGGCACAGGGCATCGGGCAACGGTTGAGTGGCAGTCCGGCACAGACCGCGACCGCGTGCGTCACCAACCCCTGCCACCGTCCACCGACCACCCGACCCGCAGCACGGAGACATGCGGGCGTGTTTGCTCACCTGTCTCTGCCCGGCATGGCCGGCTGGCCTGGTCGTGGCCAGCCTAGGCCCGGCTGACATGGTGCAAGCACTCTTGTTTGCTCCATTGAATCAAATGAGCCAGGCCAAACAGGGATTGTGT